ACACTTTTAGTTCAGTATTGCCGAATGTCGACCCTAACTGCCATTAGTGTGTATGTATGTATATATATATGTATACATACATGTACATGTAAAGGTTTTTTCTAGATAAGTGTTTTAATAATAGCTCAAGGGCTAATTAAAGTTATCAACAATTTTTCAATATATGTTTTGAAGATATCTTGCACCTCGCTGCATAACATCAGGCATAATAATTGTCCTAATTATAATTATTTTAACATAATTTTGTGGGTATTTTAACTTTTTCTGTATGTCTGACTTCTGTAAGTATTTAAAAACACCAAACTTTAATTAAATAGTTTTTAAATTTGCTGGCAACATCAATCATTTATAAATCCCTCTCACAGCTTTGTAAAATAGTTCAGAATTCAATGATTTCCTCATTGGCTGTCAATTATAACTGCATTTCTCTAAAAATTTAAAGTGAATCCATTATTTTCTACTGTTAAAAAATAAGATAGATAAATGAAAGATTGTATGATGAATTTAACAGTAAAAGTCTTGTTCCATTTAAAGATATAAAGTATTTTTGAGTATTTCTCTCATTAAGTTATTATCAGTGGGTTCATTAAAAAAATAATTCACACAAGCTAACAGCATGCCATTTTTATTACAATTCTATGTTCCCTAACACACTTTAAGATTTATTTGTTATTCCATTAATTTTTTGAACTTTTGTTGTGTTGTTTAAAATTAGGAAGTTTTCATATAAACCATATAAACTATAACTATTGTCTTATTATGGCATAAATAATTTGCAGTGTTTTAAAATTAGATTTAATATCCAAAACACACTTCCTAAACTAAAAGTTTTAAAATTTTAAGATTAAATTAAAAAAATCTTTAAAATTTCAATTTATTCTGGAAAAAAATCAAATTTTAAAATTTAAAATTTGATTTTTTACAGAATATACCTAAATTGTTCAATAATTTTTGTTTATTAAATCAAATGATTGTACACAAGAGATTTGACTCATAGTATTTATAAAATTATTGAAAATTTTTGAAGCATTATAAGATGAGTATTTATGTGTATTGTCTGAATATATCTGTAATTTGATTTAATAAAAAAAATTTATTGACCAAAGCAAAAATATTTTCTTAAATAATGTTGTACCAAAGTTAAGCTATTTCTAAAATATTTTGTTATATTACATATACTTTTCAAATTAAATTTTTTAGTATGAATTTCAAATTCAATTCATTCTTAAAAATTAAAAAAACTATATAGTAGTATTTGACATTTAATCAAAAAGTTTTAAAAAAATTTAAAATCTAATTTAAAATTTTTGGTTAAAACAATTGAAACTTAAAACTTGAAAGTTAACTTAATTTTTCTAATAAATTACCATCTCTTCACCATCATTTTCATCTTCATCACCATCATTTTCATCTTCGTCACCGTCTCTTTGTGAAATGGCAATTTACTGTTAAGTTATTTTTTTGTTAGCTCATTTAAACATATTTTATATATGTGACATAATATTTTATATTTGTGCAGTGTTGGTTGAAGAAAGAGATAATTTTACTGTTAAATTAAACAAGTTTTATTTTGAACTGCTATTTTTTATCAAGAGTCATTTATAAAAAATCAGTTGAACAACTTATCGTTTTCTCCCTCCTAAACTCTTGAACAAGCATGATTTTATACTCTTATTTTAAGCTGAGCAAGTGTTGCTTATTGCACTTGGAAGTTTAGAATGTTCTGTTTACGAGGATGTTTTATATGATCATGTCCACTTTTTTACAAGTCCTGCAATAATGATTTCTAGAGCAAATCACTAAAAACCATTACTACTCAGTTAACGAAAATGTTAAAAAAGTTAATTTTACCAAAAAAATAAATACTATCCGAAAAGTTTAGCTTTTGCTATTTTTTGGGAGCAAAGAGTGGTTATGGATAAAATGTTTACCAAAGGGTTCATTACTTGGGCCACTCTTTTTTTTGATATTTATAAATGATTAAACTAGCACTTTTGTAATGAATGCTGTAATGTTTTCAATTTGTTTGTATGCTGTTGACAACAGAATTATTGCTCCTATTTATTCCAAGACAAAATTATTTTAAAATGACATAGAAAAACCCTAATGAATTGTTGGTTGAAAAAAACTTGTGCTGAAGTTTGATAAATGTAAAATAATTTATTTTGCTGCAAGTAATATTTATTCTTATTTCATAAAAAATTATGGATAACTAAAGAATACTTGAAACACATTTAAGTATTTGTATATATAATAATTTAAAATGAGCATGACAAGTAAGAAATGCTATCAATAAAGCAAATAGTATGTTTAAAATATTAAATAATACTTTATAAGGTATATAGATAAATGTCTCGTGAAATTGCCTTTTTGCACGTTTGACTGCGCTTGGACCTGTATTAAAAGTTACAAAGATTGTGTTATATCAGAAGTTGTTAAAAATTGTTTAATTAGAAACACTTCTTTACAGGGTTGTTTTTTGATGTAATAGTTTACCAGAATAGATAGTAGAGTCTAAATCAATTAAAAATTTCAACTTTGAACTAATTGATTTACAAACAATATTGAACAAGAAAAATAATTTACAGTTAAATTTTTAGACTTTAATTGTACTGATTGTTTTAGATATTGCTTGGTCCTATATCTCAGCATTTGAATTAAATTATATATTATATTTAATTGATATATATTATATTTAATAGTTTTTCAAATGATAAAATATAAAAGATAAAATATGATAGATACAAAAAGTAGGAAGTTAAAAATGAGCTAAAAGTGGAAAAAAGCTAAATATTATTCACATTTCTAAATTTAAAATAAAATGTTAAAAACAGTTTTTCAATAACAAGCTATTAAAAAGACCAAAATACAATTTAGTTGAATCTTTTTTTCAAATTTGTCAAGACAATTATAGAACTTTATTAGCAAATATTCTTTTTAAGGTGTATTTTTCAAAACTATATTTTTCTATAAGATTTATTGACAATGACATTTATTGACATCCACAAGATTTCTTGACATTATCTTTGTAAAAAAGACAAAAAATTTTGAATTTAAGACGTTCTTAAAAAGATTGTAATAAATTAATTGTTAATTATATCTGCTATTATTTATTTGTTTTTATTTGTTACAATATGATTTTAGTTGTTACAATATGATTTTAGTTTTTCTAATAATGTTATTTATCTTTGCTAATTATTCTAATTTAATTACAATTACTTTCAATTACATACAATTACTTTCAATTTTGTTTTCAATTTTGTTTTCAATTACATACAATTACATACAAGTTTTCAATTTTGTTTTCAATTACATACAATTACTTTCAATTACATACAATTACTTTCAAAATTTTTAAAATAGTTTAAACAACCAATTTTTAAATCTGATCAACAATTAGTTGATTCAACAATAAAAGATCACAGTATGAAATATTCAAGTCAAATATGTAAATATGAATAATATATTTATATTTGAATAAAGTTGCTGCTTTTTCATCTTTTTTTTTAATGTTGATCTAATTATTTGGTATCTTTTTTCAAATGCATAATTATTTAAAGTGCAGATTAATGTTATTACCCTGCACTGAATACTTCCTGATATATTTATGTCAGTTTTTCTTAGTAGATACCAAACTTGAAGAGAGAACTCAATTAAAAGTCCAATTAGTTTTGTTAAAATTTTTATTTTAAAAGGTGAACAATCATTTCAAAATTCCAAATTCAATATGATTTTAATGTAGTTGGCATATAGTTTACAATAATTCTTTATTTGAGCAGATATTTACTTAGTATAAGAAGAATCAAAAATGATCCTTTACTAAGAAAAGCATTTTACAGTCATAAATTATTGCTATGAACTACTCTTAGTCTCTAATACGTTTCAAAAGAAAATCTCTCTTGAGTCTTCTTTGGCCATATATGCATTATCTCTGATAAAGGCAGTGTTAATATCTTTGTTTTTTCTTATATTTCCTTCTTATGTTGATATGTTATTGACTGAGATATTCTTTGCAGTAATAAAGCTAACTTAATCTTGTGAAAAAAGCAATAATTTTTAAACTTAACTCAATGTTAATGACAAAAAAAATCAAAAAACAAATTTTGCCCGCATTTTCAGCATAATGTAAGCAACTATACTGTAACACTGAGTTTATTGTCTAGCTAAATTTGTCAGGATCCAGTTTTTATTGTTGATAAACTGAACAAACAATGAGTTTGTTTATAAATTTGTAGGTGAAGATTACACACATTTTTTTCAAGTAAGGAACTAACAAAGTTATCACTAGCTATGGTTTTTTAGAATTAAATAGAATGAGGATTTATATCAAGGGTGTGTCCTGTATTTGATTATATTTGATTCCTTTGTTGAAAGGAGCTTTCAAAATTGATCTGAACTTCAGACCAAATTTTCATTTACTTCTGTGCCATGCAAGTTAGCAATTGTCAAACTTTTCAAATTAGACAATTATTTTGATATGCTTAAATAACTTGCATAAAAATTATATGAGCAAAAAATCTTTATATTTATATTACTATATATTAACATTATTATTATACGTAGATACTGCTTGCTTAAAACCTAACTCTCATTATATTTAACTATTTGAGTTATTTTAGATTATATTTAAAACTTTGTTGGAATGTTTTTACAAGGCCACTTATAAAAAGATTATATAAAAAAGATATTTCATTAGAACAAATTTTTGGATTTTATGATTTGCATTTTTAGAATATAGAGGAATTATAATTTATCCACACCTTAAAGTTTTTTTTTTATTTCTCCCTAATCCAAAAAATTTTTTTAACAAAGTGGTTGTTCTGGTAGTTTTTTTTTTTGTTTTTTTTTTGTTTGTTTTTTTTTTTTTGTTTTGTCCAACTTTTTTCTATAGTCAGTCTCTCTATTTGTACTTTAAGTATTTTATCATTATCTATTAACTTTTTAAAATAAAATATATATTATCTTTTTAATCTGAAAAATGATTTTGTATATGTTTTTAGACGTGACAGCCAACTTTAGTATTATTTTTACAGATGAAGATTATAAAGTACAGTATTCAAATCCGTCTGATGAAATATATAAACGATTCGAAGACAAAATTAAAACTGCAGTATTAATTTTAATTTATTTTTATTAAAATCTTACTAAGTTTGATTTTTTATAAATATTTGATTCTTTGTTTAATAACTAATTGTTTTTTAGATAGAAAACCTTTATAACAAGTTCAATATAACTGTATCTTTCAACTTGAAGTTGAATTCCATCAAGTATGTAAAAAAATTTTTTTTCTACTTTATCATTTTCCCATTTTGATTTTATTAAAAAAACTTATTGTTAAAACAATGTTATGGTGAATTTTTAATGTAACAGTAATAAGTTAATTATTAGAAAAACAAAAGTTTTAAAACATACATTTAAAACATTTGCAAAAGAAGCACTTTTAAATATCAACATGATAATAAAATAAAAAGAGCCCATTTTTAATGTAATAAATTACTTAAAAGTTAAAAAAATTAAAATAAAAAAATCTGGTAATTTTATTTAAAAGTTTGTACTAACCACCTATTGCAAACATTAAAGAATGGGCTGTGAAAAATAATACCTTAACTAAATGTTCAGAAAAACTTTACACAAATAAATTAAACTTTAAGTAAACATTATGTATATCAAGTAAGTTTACTAATAAATACTAGCAGTAAACAACCCATAATACAGGTTGCTTTATCTATTATCTTGCTTATCTATTATCTCAAAAAATATAATTAAATACAAATTTGTCTATAAATAATGTTTTCCCTATTAGCATTCTTAATGGTTATGGTTAACGACATAAAAAGACTACATTAACATCAGTTAAGTTTTTTTAAAATCTGCCACAGCACAGCAGGTACCAGAAGGTAGGGTTGCCAGAAGTCTAGTTATGGAAAACTCCATATATGATACTAAGCAACCTGAAAATGGGTTATAGTCTGCTCCACACTTATTATTTATACCGGGTGTCTGGCAACTTTATTTCAATAGGTGAATAGTAGTAAAAGGTTCATAAGTTTCATTAAGCAATTGAAGTTAAATACTTGAATATATAACTTATAAGACTAATCTCAGTCTAAATAAATAGTTAAATAAATATAACTTTTAAAAAGTTAAATAAATATAACTTTTAGAGGAATTTTGGTTTTGTTAATTTATAAAAAGTAACATTGATTAGTGCTAATGTTTTTTTTTTAAATTTATTATTTGTTTTATAGTTAAAATAAGTTTTAAAAATAAAATTTTTTAAAATCACTGTATTGCAACAATACATCATAAATCTAAAAAAAATTGTAATAAATAAATGGATACAATAATAAAAAAAAACATTTTTAAAAGCAGAAAGACAACTTTTTGGTGAAAAGTTGTTGTCTTCATATTTTGCTCAATGTTGGTGTTGCTCAATGTTGGTGTTGCTCAATGATGGTGTTGCTCAATGATGGTTTTGCTTAATGATGGTGTTGCTCAATGATGGTGTTGCTCAATGTTGGTGTTGCTCAATGTTGGTGTTGCTCAATGTTGGTGTTGCTCAATGTTGGTGTTGCTCAATTATGGTGTTGCTCAATCTTGTTATTTTATTGGTTTTTAATAACCAAATAATTATTTTTGAAGACAAAACAATGGTTTCAAAATGTTATTAAGAAGCTAATTATAAAATGTTTTAATGAGCTAAGCTATGAGCATCAATAAAAATAAAAAATCAAATTTAAATACAAACTGATTGTATTTATAGTAATATGTTTTGTCTTGGCTTTTAGTGAATGATTAGAAACAGTTAGCCCCATGAATAAAAATATCAATGAGTCATTTTTAAAGATAGACACTAACGAGAAGATAAGCCAATCTTCTATCAACACAAATCACCACAACAATGTTACAACGATATTGCTTAACAAAAGCACATACCATAAGATATTTGTTATTAAGTTTGACATAAAACTAGTAAATATTACATACATTAAGAAATCTAAAAATTTGGTGATTTTTTTTTTACTGTTTAGTGAACAACTTACAAAAAAGAACACATATCAATATATAGTCACTGAAATAGTTCAAATAGTCTATCAAAATATGTCAGTGCATCTGTCAATAAATTTTTCAACAATGTTTTGTTTAACTTGTTAGGTTAACCAAGGCAGGCCCGTCCCGAAGGGGGGTGTCAGGGGCGTCCCACCCCTCAAAGCTGTTATTTAAGCATTTCTATTGGTACATTGAGCAAGTTTTGAACTTTAGTTGGCAAATTGCAAGTATTAAAGATTTTTTTTTTAGGTGTTTCTAGTTGGCAAAAAAATTCATACACCCCCATCCTCCTCTTCCATAGAAGATCTCTTCGGGACAGCCCTGAACCCAGAATTTTGCTATTTGATACTAATAAATACAGACTTTGCTTAATCTCTAATTCAAATTTTGTTAAAGCAGTGAAATCATGTTGATTTTTATCTTCTGACATTTTATCTTCTAAAATGTCCATTAAAACACAAACTGTCTATTATATTATATTACACAAACTGTCTATTATATGTCTACAAAACTTCCATTTTCTATCATAAGTTTTATTTCCTTGCTAATCAATGAAATAGACTATTTTGATTTGATTCTTTTCTTGTTTGAATCATGATTGGCTTTTAAGTAAGCTCAGAGTTTGAGTTTTACCTGCAATGAAATACATTCACGATTTAGAATCTAACATTGGCAATACATAACCATAGTACTGCTTGTACTAACAGTGTACAATTGGTTGTAAATCTTGTTTTCACCATTTTTATATCAGCCATACTTTACTTCTAGTATTAAGCTACTTTCTCTAGCAAAAATAGAAATATTATATGACCAATGACAGGATGAGGAAGATAATTTTGCAATTAGAAACACTTGTAACATCAATATGTATTTATGTTATTGCATGATCTTATAATAATTTTTGTAGATTAAGCTTGACAACTTGATCTAAAAGCATGTATTAAGTGTAATAAGTTTTTTTAAAAAAATACCAAGTATAATTATTATTTTTTAGTTTTTTTTGTGTGTTCTTGATATATTGTATGCTTTTGTAAATATTTTTAGTGGAAAAAACTTCAAAATTGACCTTAAGACATGAATCATTATATGAATTATTTTTTAGTGTCCTAGAGTTATCAAATTATCATAATCATGATCATGTTATACTCATATAAATATTAATGTTTTACTCATATAATTAAACATCGTTTTACTCTGTGCTGTTTTAGTATTCTAGATTTATGGAATGATCTAAGCAGCATTTTTTAGAGTTTCAAAAATTGAGCTAAAAACATGTATCATAATAATATATTATTTTCTCATACCGACATAAAGAAATTTTCCCTACTTACAATCAAATGTCTGCAAAAGTGTTGAATTACCCACTGTACAGTGGTCCAGAAATGCCACTTTTGAGGCAAAAATTATATCTTCACTAATTTTGAAAATAATAAGCTAGAATTTTTAGTGATCATTCATTATACTCTGGCCAACAATAACTGTTATTGTAATGTTTCTTCATATACCTCTGAAAGATGCGCCAATAACACAAAACCAAGGACAAATTGCAAAATGAATAATAAACATGTGACACGTATTTCATAGTAATTTTCAACTTTCTATTGATTATAAACAGTCACCAGAATGTTTGATACATTTTTCGATTAAATAAGTACCTGTGCAGAACACCAAGAACACATAGCATAATAAAACTTCCATTTAACTTATTTTAACACAATTATGAATACCTTTTAACTTAATATTTTGTAGAGGACAAACTTCACATTTATAACATTTTGGTGGATTACAAAAACATGCAGAGTATCACACCAAGGACAGGTGCCAAGGACAAAAAGTAAGCACAACAATGATATATAAAGAATTAAAATTATTTCCAAGATTTATGGTACATTTATGAAAATTAGTGTATAGAATAAATGCTCTAAAATAACACACCAAGGACACATGACATAACATGCAACATGCCTTTTGCATTTGTACTTATATCTAGAGTTAAAATTTATTTCCATAATACTAACAAAATGTAGTATTATAATAGTTTGACTTCCTTGTGGAATAATAAACAAAATCATCAAGTACGCATATTTTGTAAATACCTAGACATGAATAATCTGTGCATATGGTAGCACAGCAAAAACATACAACAACTTAAAAAGAATGCGTAATGTTGGTTTTACACCAAGATTATAAATAAAAATAATCATTCTTCAATATTTCTATATTAAATTTTTTTCCAATAAATTGAGCAATTTAAAAATATATAATTATATAGGGTTTGAGTTTTTTATAAAAAAAATCAATAAAACATGTTTAAACACGTGTGCATACTACTAGAAAAAATGTGCTATTTTAAAAATGCAGCTTTATAGATTTCTTAAAATAAAGTAAATATATTTAGGACACATACTATCAATAATTCAATTGGTTTGAAATAAAGAATATAATATTATTTAGAAAGTTACAAAAGAAGGTCCAAACATTCTGCTGGAAGTTCAAGATCCTTTTTTGATTCAGAACTTCGCCTCATAGAAGTGATAAAGGGGTCTGATGAGCAGAGCAATCTTCTCATTACATCTTCATTTGTAAGTTTTGAAAACTTTCTTGTAAAATGTTCTCAAAAATTTTTAACTTCTTTATTTGTCAGTCAATCGTTATCTTGCTCTACAATCTTCATCTTTTCTCTTCCAGTAACTTCCAACACTAATAAGTGGTTGCTTGCAACCTTGTTGGAAGCAAAGATAATTAAAAAAAAAAAAAAAAAAATTCTACTTTCCTGGGCTTCTTCAGATAAGAGCCTAATTGGAACTGGCTTGTCTCTTACAACCTGGTTTGAATGTACAATCATCTTGTGAACTCCAACAGGTATAGGACACCATTTAAAATGTGCTACATATGTCTTAAATGTTTCTTTGCAATATAATTATAGTTTATATAGATATTGGGTGTTTACAGGATAACACACAAAGGATACTGAAAAATCTTTTAACAAGACCCTTACCAATTCCAAGTATTTCAGCAAAAGTTTCATGGCTACTAAATGCCCTTCTTGCTGTGTTTCCATAATTGGATGTACCAGAGCCACCACTTCTTTGTACATCAACAACAAGTCCAAGTGTATCTTTGATTTTTTCCTGAATTTTTTTTTCTATTGCAACTATATTTTTCTTTTCAGAAGTGTTTGCATGAAAAAATCCACAATCATTGTACTCTGGTCTTC